AAGGTTATGAGAAGTTCATAATGAAACAATGCAACTTTTGCCAGGTGGCAAGGCTCACATCTGTAATCCCAGCAGCTCAGGAAGCTGAGGCAGAAGGACTGCAAGTTCAAAGCCAGCCTTAGCAACTTACAGAAACCCTAGGTAACTTAGTAAGACCCTATCTCAAAACAAAAACACGAAAAGTGCTGGGAATGTTGCTCAGTGACTAAGAACCTCTGGGTTCAATCCCCAGTACCAAAATAAATAAATAAATAAATAATGCAACTTTTAAAGAAATTTCTTTCTTTGGCATACAAAATAAGCCATTTCAAAAGATATTTTTAGACAAAAATATCTCTAAAGATAATTAAGCATATTGTAAAAAAGACAGCAAATATTACTTCACTCTATTAAGTAATTAAAATATTATTAAAATAGATGAACATGACTTTTACAGAGGATTCACCCAGAATGTCAGTAAGGTGGCATCTTTCCAAGTCTACACCTTGAGAAGCAGAAAACTTCTTGGCAACAGGGGATCATAGTTTTGATGAATAGGCTCATAGCTTTCTCCTTTCTCTCCTGCATTATCAGATGAAATCTCTGGGAGTTTCTTTGTAGGCTTTATTGGTTCTGGAAGTTCCTGTCACACTAGAGTGGGCTGGTTGTGGTCTATTTTATTATTCATATATTATTAAGCACAACTCCTCCAACACTATAGAAATTGCCAAATTTACTCATGTAGAAAAAATAAGACACGATGCAATAACATCTGTAGAGAGTAGTCCATTAGATGGACCAGGGCTATGCAAGGCCTGAACAGGTAAAAACCCAGCACAGAAGAGCTGCAGTGATTAGAGGGGAGAATAAAAAAAAGATTAGAAGGATGAAAGCATTGGCAGAGGGTAGAAGACTTGGGTTCTATGGAACGGGAGCAGGTTTGTGTGAATTTATTTTACAAATGTGAATTGTAATGACTGATTGATTGTTTTTTGGTACTCAAGATTGAACCCAGGGGTTCTTGATCACTGAGCAATATCCCTAGCCTTTTTATTTTGAGACAGGGCTTTGCTAACTGAGGCTGGCTTTGAACTTGCAATCCTCCTGCCTCAGCCTCCCAAGCTACTGGGACTGTTATGCACCTGTTATGATTCTTTTTTTTTGGTATGGGGGATTGAACTACCCAGCGGTGCTTAAACACTGAGCCACAACCCCAGCCCTTTTTTGTTTTATTTAGAGACAGGGGTCTTGCTGAGTTGCTTAGGACCTCGCTAAATTGCTAAGGCTTTCTTTGAACTCATGATCCTGCTCCCTCAACCTCCCAAACTGCTGGGATTATAGGTAGGCATGCACCACCACACCTGGATTGTTATGATTCTTAATAACTGAAAATTCCACCTTATATATTCAAGATTGCTTTTGGCATCAATGGAAACCAGTTKTTCCATGAGGAAATGACTGCAACTGAAAACAGTTAACTACACAGATGATATAAGAGAAGGAACAATGGATAGGAGTCAGCAAATCAGGGGCCTATTCTTGCCCCTGCCACCTACCACCTAGGGGACCTTGGGCAAGTCACTAAACATCTTGAGGCCTCAATTTTACTATAAAATGGGATGTCTTCTTACCTGGTAGAGAAGTTGTGAGAGCCATGTGAGATCACTTATGTACAATGTACTCAAATGTAAAGTCATCTATTAGGTCCCCAGAAATAGCACCTTTGTATGAATGAGAAGAAAATTCTCTTCTGCTGGGTGAAGTCAACTCTGTGCCAGTTTGCCTAGTTTGCTTAGCAGAGTACTGGTGAGGTTTCAGTCTCTTACTTCCTCTTTGCTGGTCACCCCTGAGTAGGGCATAACCAGCAGAACTGTTTCTATAAGAATTCTACTACACAATCTTACAAGCACTTACTACCAGGACATCTGCTGAATATCTTCAATAGGCCAGGTCCCTTTGTGTGGTGGGTCAGGGAAAGTGACATTATGCTCTGCACACAATTGAGCACTCTAGGAATCTGATGAAGGACAGTGTTTAGATGTTGGATCATCCCAAGTAACGTGCCAGTCTCTTAAAAAAAAAAAAAAAAGCTCCTTCTTCCTGGACTTTTGTGTATCTAGTGGGCATGTGAATGACAAAAACCCTGGAAAGGAAGATAACAGCTTATTTGAGACCTGCACCAGACTTAGAATCCTTATAAAAACCTTGTTCAGGGGGCTGGGGTTTTGGCTCAGTGGTGGAATGCTTGCCTAGCATGTGTGAGGCACTGGGTTCAATTCTCAGCACCACATGTAAATAAGTGAAAATAAATGTCCATCAACATCTTAAAAAAAAAAAGGATATTCAGCATTTCCTCCTTTTCCTGTTTCCATGTCTCCTATGCTAAGAGACTTCTCATAGTTACAGGACCTCTAGTCTAAGGCCAAGGTAGATTCTTACAGCTGGTCAATTATTGGGCAGGAGCAACCCAACAACTAATCAGGATGTCTGCTCTATCTCCCTCCCTCCCTTCCTTCCTTCCTTCCTTCCTTCCTTCCTTCCTTCCTTCCTTCCTTCCTTCCTCCCTCCCTCCCTCCCTTCCTTCCTTCCTTCCCTCCTTCCTTTCATATATTTTTACCTAACTAGAAGCCAAGAATTTTGTCATCAGAACTGCCATTACTCATCTGAGACATCAACCTCTTTAAGCTAGTTTATTTGTAAAACAGAGAGTCTATATGAGTCTTACTTCCTTCTCTGATAGTCTAGGATATTAACAGACTCTTGTAGGAGAYGCAGTGAGTAGTATTGGTAGCAATCTGTAGTGTGGTGTTGGTTCTTAGTCTGTAGCTATTGTTCCTTAGTCCTTAGCTATTTCTAAACAGGAAAATGGTATTGATGGTGTGGGCAATTATCATATGTTGGTAATTGCTGTGAAATAGCAAGAACAACAACAATAGCTAACACATTTAGCCTGCAGCATCTTATGTAATATTTACAATAGCCCTATGACGTAATTGCCACTACTATCCAAATTTAGAAGATGAGAAAGCCGTTGCCTAGGAAAAAAAAAAGCCCAAGAATAATTCCTTTCTTCATATTCAATTAAAGGTTGGTTTCCAATGATCTCTAGAAGTAACCAGAACACTCCAGTAATAAAGAAGGAAGTGAAGCCCAGATTGCTGCTGGGCTCAGCAGAGGATTCTCCATTTCCCCTTCTGTTGCAAAGAGAACTCTCCAGAGTGAATGAGCAGAATGAACACAACAGAAGAACAGCACAAGCAAACTGTGATGGTGAAAYGCCACGAATTCCTCACTCAAGCAGGTAGTCAAGATTGCTGGGCTATGGTTGTGGCTCAGTGGTAGAGTGCTTGCCTAGCATATATGAGTCACCAAATTAGATCCTCAGCAYCACATAAYAATAAATAAAATAAAGGCATTATGTCCAGCTACAATTAAAAAATATTTTTAAAATAAAGATTGCTTACTTGTTCTAAATTATAAACATTAGCACTGCAGAAAGTCAGCTGAATAGGTCATGTGGATTACACGAGTGTTTTTCAAACTACCATTTGAAAGCTCCTGTCTGAGTGACTACAGAAAACATCCTCCCAAGAGGGCTTATTTATGCCTAGAGAGGTTTTTTATAGTGCTTTATTAATCTCCAGCATGCATTTAACAATATTATATCATGATGTCAACATTTGCTAAAGAAGAGAATCTTAGCAACCACAGCATAACCTTCCTGGTTTTATTCACCCAGCCTGTAGGGATTGATAATGATAGTGGTGCTTTGGATTATCTCTTATCTAGGGCTAAATAATTAGCTTTGTAAAATCTAGGTGTTGTTATGGGCATGTGGCTATTGGTTGGAGGATGCAAAGAGGAGTGGAGTGGAGGGCTGGGTAAAGGCATAGGCAAATAAAAATATGTGAACGTTTACAATTGACTCAAATAGTCTAGATCTTCAAATCAAGTCATGATACCATGTAAAATGTGAAAAATAAAATAACTATGTTGGACAGTTAACCCAAATAAAGGACAAAGATCTTGACATTTCAGAAATGATAGGGAAGGGTTTAAGGAAATACAGTGGGGGGAGAACATAATTTAAAAGACAACTAGTTTTGAAATTCATGCACAAGACCAGACTGCTATAAACCACAGATGAATGGGTGTATCTCAGAAGTGGAATGATGGATTGATAAAGTAAAACTGTCTGTAATTTTTCAGGTTGGAGACATTTCCTGTCCTGGAAGTCTGGAACTGAATTATTGTCCAAATAGCCTTACTTCAAAGTATTTGTGGGAGTAGAAAGCCAAATTGCTTGAGTGTAATTGTTCAGTGTTGATTGGGGGAGAGGTAAGAGGAGTGGCTTAGGAAGTCATTCTGTGTTTAAGATCATAGGAACCATAGGGTCAGTCATTTTTATGCAGACTAGCATCCGCTGGTTATCAAGAAGAAAACCCTGGAAGGGAAGAATTTGGGGAAYTGGAAGATACAAGAACCTCTGAAGCTACTTAGGAGTGTAGGTAAGTCATGGTATTGGGTACCCTTCTCAGGGAACAACCTGAGAAGTTCTATTTTTTTTTTAATTAAAAAATTTTTGAAAACATTTTTATCTCTATAGAAAAGTTCCAATAATAAAACAAGGGACTTCTCACTGCTCTTTWTTCAGAAAAATTATGTAAAATTATTTTTCTCAAGTTTATTTTATCATTTTCTTTTTTCCCTATAAGCATGCACTTAACACATGCACATGTTAATATTTCAGTGTGTATTTACTAACAGCATGGATATTCTCTTAAATAATCTGAATTTACTTTTAAAGTTTATTGTATAAAACACTGACATAATAACATCATCAGCTTCTCCACAAACTATATTCTAATTTTATCAACTGTCTCAAKAATGTTCTTCATAGCATTTTATTTCATTTTTTCTTGTAGAGAAGGTCTCTCTTTGATAGGATGTGATACTCACCTAGCAAGACAAAGATATACTTCCTTGCCTCGGCTCTCATTAAGATCTTCATTAGTTAAGAAAGCCCCAGAAGATCAATTGTTCAGTTTTCCTTGTTTTCATTCTTATTCCATTTCTTCCCTGAAAGTACAAATCAGCAGGAATACCTAGGTAGTAGGCGATCTTTCACAGAAGAAGGAATCTKGTATGACAAGATGGAACTTTAGTAAGAATGGAAGATTGAGTGGACACATTAATCCTCAGTCTCAGTTGAATAGACTACAGTACTTTTTCTATTTATTTTAATCTTTTTTTTTTTTTTTTTGATACCTGGGGTAGAACTTGAGCACTTCACCCCTGAGCCAAACCCCAAACTCTTTTTATTTCTTTTTTATTTTGAGACAAGGTCTTGCTAAGATGCTTAGGGCCTCACTCAGTTACTGAGGCTGGCCTCAAACTTTCGATTCTCTTGCCTCAGCTTCCCAAGGGTTTACTTGGGATTACTGGCGTGTGCCACCACTCAAGAATCTTTCTATCTTTTTTGGGAGGAAATAAATAGTAATGGGCAAAATTCAAGTTAATTACTTGATTAAGAATTTAGTTATTTAAAAATCATTGGTGCCAGCTTTCCTCACTGATTCCTCATCTGTGAGTCAATTTCAGAACAGCTTTTCCTGGTTGTCTTCCCAATCTCTGGGATCCATACCTTATTACACACTAACAGGGAGTATGGTGGGGGAGGGACTGAGAAATGGAAAGAGAAAGACAAAGGATCACTGCTTTGGGAGATGGAGTCATGTGGAGAAGAAAGGGGAGACCCCAAAGCCTATGCTGTAGGATTTAGAGAGGCCACAGTCTCCACTGGTGCCAGTTTTCATCTCAACATCATGTCCTTCCATTTCCCTCCACCTGTCCAGGCAAAATGAAGCTGACTCTGGTACAAATCTTTTTCATGCTGCTGCTGCTGCTGCTGGGCCTGGGGCTGGGCCTGGGGCTGGGGCTTCACATGGCCGCAGCAGTCCTGGAGGATACTGATCAGCCACTGAACCAGTTTTGGTCCAGTGACTCACAGGACAAAGTCGAGACCACTGAGGAGGGAAAAGGCACACAAGCCACAGAAAGCCTGGTGCTTAGCAACAAAGGAACAGAGCAACCTGACTTGCCAGAAGAGACCTTCTCCAGTGAAGATGAGGTGGGAGGAAACAAGGTGCTCAGAGACAAGACTTTCTTGCGGAGCAACCAAGAAGATTTTAGGCTTAGTTTGGAGGCCAGGGAATGCAATAGCATGATGGCAAACAAGGTGAAGGAGCACAATCGCAGCTGCATATTTGAGTACACATTCATCCACGAGGAAGTCAACACAGTCAGAGCTGTCTGTAGCAGTCCTGTTGTTCCCTGTGACCTCAAGGGGATAAAATGTCACAGAAGCCCCCGTCCTTTTGATTTGACATTCTGCAAGTTGTCCAAGTCCGGCCAGCTCACTCCTAACTGCAATTATCTGACTTTCATTCTGGAAAGGGTCATTGTCATAACCTGTAATGGCATGAACCTCCGTTTAACATCTATACAGTGAAGCAACTCGTCCTCTTCTTTCTCTTCTACCTTATTCTTTTTCTTTTCCTTTTCCACTTCTACTTCTCAAGTTGCACTCCTCCTCTTAGGTAATCTTGCAGAGAATTTTCTAGGAGGAGAGGATGAACTATTCTTTATCAACATCTTCTAAAAATGTTATTCTTCTTTGCCTTAGGGGCCGTYCAACATGCATTTTGTCCCTGGACTTAGAGGTGCTGAAGAGAGTAATGATGCTCAGTTTCTCCAGGTTTTCTATTTCTCCTCTCCAATCTTTGCTGTGGAAGGGGATAAATAAAGGACTGCTCCTGCCCCTCCAGTAGCCCTGGTCATTAGTCTGTTCCCTGGTCTGAGTTTGCCTTTGAGTGTGGACTGGCAGAGTCCACACTCTGCTTCCTATGTTCCTCCCTGCGACCCACCTCGAACCTCTACAGCAATCACTTGAGACTTCTGAGGTTTGCACACCTATACTTTTTTGCACTGTGGATGCAATTAAAGTGATTGTGTTTGTGACTGTGTCTAGAAAACCACGTGGACCATGTTTCTTTCCCTGAGCCTGGAAACACAGAACCTAGKCTTACGGGTAGACAGGTGGTACAGTGGTGCACATCAAGACAGAACAGGCATGGACTGTTCTCTTTCTCCCAACTCTTCCACTTTCTCTGGWTCTTTTCAGAGATTCCGTCAGCCCAGACGGACACTTCTGCTTTMCCAGGTAAGCAGAGGAAGGTCCTATAGAGTCAGGCAGAAGGGCTGGAGGGAAGGTAGGTCAGGAGGGTGAAAACGAGAGAAGCAGAGAGGAAAAGAGAGCACCATCTTTCCAAGTTAAGTATAAAAAGTAGAAGAGTGTTCATAGTAGATGCTCATTATATGTGGGATGAATGAGGTGGGAGGAGTCTTATTCTCATTCAGCATCCTTGTCCATTTCTTTTCTTTTTCTTTTTAAATATTTATTTTTTAGTTATAGGTGGACATAATTTATTTTACTCTATGTGGTGCTGAGGATTGAACCCAGTGCCTCACTCATGCTAAGCGAGCGCTCTACCTCTGGAGCCACAACCCCAGCCCACCCTTGCCCATTTCTTGTGCTAAAGAACAAGGAAAGTTGGTGAAAGAATAATTTCAGCAGATGTTTGAATTTATTTAAGAAGGGGAAAAACAAAATAAATAAATAAAATAAAAAGAAATAAAAACAAAGAACAACAACCACCAAAAACAAACAGGGAAGGGCAGGGATGCTACGGGGATGAATAAACAGAGGATGCAAGTGGCTGCCCTCAGCCTATTTCCTCTAAATTCAATTTTTTTTTTWAAGTGTAGTTAGAATGCATAGGGGCAGGGAAAGTTTGAGGAAATGGCTAGAAGGACTCACTGTGTGGTTCGGTTTTGAGATCTCCTCCTGTTGGAGTTTTCCTCAGCTTCATCTTCATATCTGGTAATAGACCTAAGAGTCAGGAATACACATACATGGGAGATGGGAAAGAAGAAAAAGTTCCATCACTCTGACCTGTCCCCAAAACTCYCACAGTCTTCCTATTTCCTTAATTCTTCCAGTTCTTGCAGGCAGACAGCCACTTGGATGTGGTAAGATTCTCCCATTCCTCTGACTCATCCTTCCTAGCAATGGCCTCTTGTAAACAGTGCTGGGCAGGAAGTGTGTCTGCGTTTGTGAACTGCCCTGACATTTGAGGAGTGGATAGAGGAGAGGCAGGCGGTGAGGACACAGCCAATGTAAACTCCTCTTCTTCCTGATGGGGGAGAGAAAGAAGGTTATGTAAGACAAGGGAAAAATGAGAAATGGAGTAAGAAGAGAAGAAAAAAAGAGTACAGTCAGAGTTAGAAATTTGGTAAGTAAACCCAGGGCTATAGTACTGGGAATGAATGGGAACGGGTTCCACGGGTGACTTTACTCTAACCAGAAGCCACAGAGGCAGAGTGAACTAGTAAGAGACAGGGATAATTYGGGGATTAAAGCCTGTCTTCTCTCACTTGCAAATACAGCTACATTCTTCTATGGGTCCCCAACTTTCTCAGGGCTCTCACACCGCTCAGTGAGAACGCCCATCTCCCCATTTTGGTCTCCACTTTGTAGGAATCKCAGCCATCAGGCTTTTTCTGACTGTGGAGATAAACTCAAGAAACCAATTTACAAAATACCCTACCGGCTCCTAGTGGCTTGAGCAGGAAAATACAGCTTCTGTGGCCGAGGTAACACAGTGACAAGGCTTTGTGGATGGACATCTCACCTCCTCTTTACACTTCCAGTGTACATGCTTGTGACAAGTCYCTGGACCTTTATCCACAGTTCCTGAATTCCTAAAACTCTAAAAATCAAGTTTTTTTTTTTTTCCAAAGTGACTTTAAAACTCCTTTTGATGTAGCACCTGACTAAATTGACAAGCGAGGCTACTTATTATCTTTATTTATGCTATGCAACCATGACACATTTCAATGTGGAAATATCAATGTGTTTGATCATGAGTACTGCCTAAGATATACTCTTCTATGGGTGTTTCAGTAGTATGTTATGAATGTATGTGCACAAACATAATATTGTTTTTAAAAATTCAAAAAATTCTAAGTTCTTGCTCTTTTTATATCAACCCACTCTTGCAAGAAGTAACCCCTCCACCAGACCAGAATTGATCCCTGCCAAGAGCAGGGCTCCCAATGACTTAACCACCTTTTACCAGGCCCTACTCCTTAAGGATTCCACCACTCAACACAGCCACACCGAGGACCAAGCCTCTAACACATGAACACTTTACTGACAAACCACATCCAAATCCCAGCCCCCACTTACCTTGATGAGAATCTCCCAACTCATATATGGCTGATCTGTATTTCAGATGGAGGCTTCCCGTGCTTCTCTTCACGTGCTGCTTCCCAATTTTGAAACATCATTCTGTTTTCTCACAGTGATTCAAAAGGATGAGATTCAACTCTAAGTAGTTTAGGGCCTAGATTTTGTTTGTACATCAGTTAAAAGCATTTATTGTGCTAAGAACATACGTACTAGATATTATAGGTAAATGGGGGGGGGAGAGATGGGAGGGAGGGAGAGAGAGAGAGAGAGAGAGAGAGAGAGAGAGAGAGAGAGAGAGAGAGAGAGATGGGGGAGAGAGAGAGAAGCAGAAGAAGACCTCCGAGCTCTGGTTCCTCATGAATACCCGTCCTGACAGTCTGGAGGATGATGGAGACACTTCTCAATGTTATTCAAAGTTTTAAAAATCACAGCCAATCTAAACCATAATATATGTTTAAGATTTGAACTTTTACTAGGATAAAAAATATGAAATATAAAGCTTTTTCAGAACCAACCTCTTGCTGTTAGTCTTCTCCTTAAAATTCCTTCTCTCTTATGKTGTGAGCACTCTATTACAGAGCCACAATCCCAGCCCCTTATAGACTGTTTCTTTTCTTTCAGTGCTAGGGATTGAAYCCATGGCCTTGTGCATAGGAGGCAAGCACTCTACTAACTGAGCTATATCCCCAACCTACCTATAGTCTGTTTCTTCGGTGATGTAGCACTGAATGCATTAAAAGTGGCTGGGAGGGAAGAATCAGGGCCAAAAGATAAATCCCCTACTATTTGCACACTCAGATACTGTGTTCAGAACACTCTAAATATTTTTTTCTCAATGTTGAAGGTTATTTGAATTACCTCGGGAAGCTTTAAAAATATGAAAAATGCAATTCCAAAAGCCCTCTTCCAGCAATATTCATATAATTAGTCTGAATTGGAGACTGGGCATCAGGCAAGTTCTAGTCATGGTGGGGCTACGTTACTATATCTTCTAAGGTAGTTTTTCTGTGAATCAGTGTTTCAAAAACTGTTAACAGAGATGTTGAAGTGATTCGGGAGATCCTCAATTAAATATAGATAAATGGATCTCTTTTCTCAAGATCTTRTAATCTTTAATATTAATATGTGTTGTGAATCATTAATAATAGAGATCATATTTAACATTTCTGTAATTATTCCCATGAAATAATCTACCCATTCCCATCATTAGTAACATTTTTCTAGAACTAATGTTTCCAGTTTGAAAACACTGTTCTAGACTTTCTTTTCTTTCCCTAGACTTTTCTAAATCTTTCACCTTTATCTAATACAGTTATGATGAGGCCTATCCTAGAGACTGACATCTAGTTAAGATTATAAATAATCTATGCTCAAATCCACAAATGTGGTTTTGTATACCATAAAAGAAAAGAACCAGTTCAGACAGACAAAGGATGTATGACCAAAGGTCAATAGTGACCATTGGTGGCCCAGAGTCCTAAATTCATCATGTGTCTAGGGCGTATTTGCATCACCCCAAATCACTATGTTAGCACCATTCAGGTGGCTCATTCTCACATGATCCCGCAAAAGAAATACCATACTAGCCAGAGGGAGCAATCTACTTGCCAGGTCATCCTCTTGGAACAAGCTCCTGGCCTTGGAGACTCAGAATGACCCCATAGGTGCAAGTCCCAGCACTCTTTCAAGTATTCTGGTTGACCTCACACATGAGGGTGGTACTCTAAAGAGGAGAAATAGGACCCAAACCCATGTAAGCCTCAGTTCTATTTCAGACAGATGTGAGAAACAATCGCAGCACTGCCATTTAAAAGCAATTATGCTCAAGGTAGTTGTTCTAAGCTCTCGGCACCTCAGGTTATTTATATGTACATGTGTATGATAATACCTACTTTTTACTGTTGCAAGGATTACACCAGATTAAGAGTTACTTTGTGGGGCTCAGTGAATGGCAGCTGCACYTAGTGGTGCTGTTGCTGGGCTCTCTGCTCAGAGAGAACATATAAGTATTTTGACAGGTTCCTTCTGGAGGCAGTATTGTAACACAAAGTGCAATACCATCTGCACAGGTTTGAGTTTCAAGTGCATTGACTAGTGTGTGGATCTGTGGGATCTTATAGAACTCCTTAAATTTAATTTCTTTGGTAACAAAATTTATATACTTGGAGAGAGTGCAGTTCTTTGACATGAGCAAGCAGGATCATTGTCCTGGGCCTAGCCCCTCAGGGTTCCCCTACAATTTGGAATGTAATCTTCTACATACGAAGATCCTTGTGATGGGATTTGCTGGAGCTGCAGTGCTCTCTGGGAGTGATGCTCTGATCTAGGACTTGGATCTTTGTGGGCTTGGGTCCTGTTTTCCCTCTTTTTTTTAAAAAAAAATTGATATTCTTAGTATATTAAAAACTTATAAATTAGTAAGAAAAGTAGTTTAAAATTGAGAATATGAAAAGACAAGAAAACATGAAAAAACACACTACATTAATATCAGAAAAATGCATGTTAAAACAAAAACATGATATTTTTCACCTATTAAAATGGAAAAAATAAAAAAAWATATATAATATCCAGTGCAGGTAAGGRTATTGCCACTTTCATACATTGCTTGAAAGAGCAAACTGGCAGTATGTGTCAATACTGTCTACGTATATCCTTTGATCCAATAATTACACTGTCAAGTGTCAGTCTCCTAAGGAAATAGTCACAGACATGAACAAAAATTGACAAAGATTTTCATCAATAGCAATTATAATTWAAAAAATGGAAATGACAAGGACCAATCATAGAGGGTTAGTAAAATAAATCACGGTTCATTCTTACAATGGAATATTACAAATTCCTTAAATGTTTTTAAGGCTATTTAGTGACATGGAAAAATAATACAATATGAAATGAAATTTAATACTATGTAAAACTGCACTGAATGCTTCTCTAAGTGACAACCTGATCTTAAATTAAACAATACAATTCAAACAATTCTTTCCCCTGCTCCCAGAATGCCCTTCTTTGATCCAACCCATCTTTCCAGGGCTCCCAGTGTAGATGCTTCTCTGCCGCTCTAATATATTCCTTGCTCTTCTTTTGTTGCTGAGCCTCCTCGGTACAAACACTTCTCTGCTTAACAATCCTTGACACAGAGAGAAGATATTTTCATACTATCTTAAACTTCTTTTTTTTTTTTTATTATTATCTTAAACTTCTTAAAGGACAAAGTTTTCCCCAATAYCCAGCACCTCCTTCTTGGCTGCTCCAACCAACTCTTAGGACATTTTTTCCCCCCAATCCTTACCTCCTTCCTCCAAAGCACATGATGACCTCTTGAATATTTCTTGAATGAAGGATCTAAAAATATAAATCCAATCCAGATAAARGAAATCCAATTACTGAGTTCAACTCTTGTTGGATTATAGGAGATTTTCATATTTTTCTCCACACTATCCTATTTCATCTACATTTCAAATGAATACCATGTATGATTTTATAATAAGGAGAGAACAAACAAAATTGTACTTTTTCCTTCATTTAATTGTCTCCTAGGTCTAGATAAGAAATACKCATGCTTGACCTTGGATAATAGATAAAATTCAGTTCCGTATACTTTGGAAAACTTTAAAAAACTGTGGTAGTCAGGCATGGTGGTGTATACGAAATGTACTGACCAACTTGCAAGTAGCCTGTAATCCTAGCTACTTAAGAGGCTGAGGCAGAAGGATCCAGGTCAGCCTGGACAACTTAGCGAGAATCTGTCTAAAAAAAAAAAAAAAAAGCCAGCAAATATCTCAGTCTCTCTCTTGCCAGGCAAAGCAGAATGAGCTATCATCTAGCAGAGTTTCATCCCTAATGGGGCCTAAAGGACTCCAAGGGACAGAGTTGTTGCTATTTTCAGCAACATTTTGATATAATAATTTGTTGATGTTCCTGACTCTGTACCCTGCATCTTACCCATTTTTCCGCTCTCATGTTTGCAGATTAGACTCCAGTTATTTTCAGAAAATGATTCAAATCACAGTGATGTCACTTCTAAGAGCAGCTAGACTGGTT